CTTTTCCTAAATTTTAAAAAACTTATGATCTAAAATACTTATGCTGAAATTGTCTTTATCAATTGTTCTACTTTATCTAATTTATTTTAATTCTATTTAATGATATTATCTACTTGTATATTATTCTGTCCGGCTTCTTTACTATGCGACCTGTCTCACATCACCCTGGTTGCCTCCACAGGCTGCACGATTTATCAGTTCAGGTGTCTTCTGTATATCAGGCTTGATTAACTGTCTATTCCTCCGTAACTGAACTCCGGATCCATCCTCTGTAATATAAGAACGAGGAGTTGGTCCAAAACCAACTACTCTCGCTGGACTCCACGTTTTGTTAACAGGGTCTTGAACTTGTACCGCTTGATTTTGAAAGAGATTTGGCTTCTCCTTCGAATCCCTGTAATATAGATTTACTTGTTTCTTTTGTTGTTAATAACAAGTCTCTGGTTTCGTACCGATCGCTTGGTGGATGAATCTTTACTGGTAATGTTGACTTGAACATTCTTCCATTTAGTAGCTCTGCTGGAGATTTGAGTGTTGTACTTAACGGGGTAGAACGCAACGACAGTAATGCAAGACTAGGATCAGCTCCTGATTCCTTGCATTTCAACAGGATCTTCTTCACAGTTTGGACCTGTCTCTCAATGAAACCATGCCCCTTTGGGTAATGAGGTGACGAAGTGACTACTTTAAAACCATATCTCTTCGCTAGGTCTTGAAATTGGGCAGAAGTGAATTGAGATCCATTATCACAAATGAGCGTTTCTGGTATGCCTTGCTCAGAAAATATCGATCTAACCACATTAACTACAGTGGTTGCTGTTAAATTATTTAATTTCTTCACAAATGGAAATTTCGAGTAATAGTCAGCAATAACAATGTACCAGAAATTATTTACCTTAAACAGGTCTGCGCTCACAGTATGCCATGGTCTTGGCGGTACTTCGCTTGGAATCATGGGTTCCTTTTGCTGTGAATTCTGGAATTTCTTGCAGGCACAACAGGACACCACCATACTCTCAATCTCTTTATATATACCGGGCCAATAAACGCAGGATTTTGAACGGAGTTTGCACTTCTCCATCCCTTGATGACCACTATGGATTTCTCGCATTATCTTCTGCCGGAGTGATTCTGGAAAATTATTCTACTGCCTAAGAATAGAAGTCCTTCTTGGATAGAAATGTCATCTCGGTTATTCCAGTAAGGCTTTACTGCTTGCTGTATTTTCTTTATGCTATCAGGCCACCCTTGTATAACTTGCTCGCTGAGTATTTGAAGAGTTCCATCTCTAGCAGTTTCTTCTTTTATCTGTTGGAGCTCGACAGGTGGAAATTCTACTAGATGATGAATTTTCACACGCATTCCTGGGATTTCGTCTCCCTTCCTTGGTGACAGTCTCGATAGGGTATCTGCCTGGCTTGTATTTGATGATACAACCGTATGGTTGCAATCGTAGAAGCATTCTTTGAAGTCGAGGAGGTGCCATGTCGAGATTTTTCTTCTGGATCTGTTCCAAAGGACGATGATCACTTTCCACAACGAATTGCCTCCCATATAAGTAAGTGTGGAATTTCTCACATCCATATATCACTGCCAATAACTCACGCTCGATGTTGGCGTACCTACTCTCAGCAGGGGTTAAGGCTTTCGATGCAAACGCAATGGGCTTGTTCTCTTGTAATAGAACGGCTCCCAAGCCTTTACTTGATGCGTCTACTTGTAGCACAACTGACTTGCTTCTATCGTAGTAGGAAAGTGTAGTTTCTGTGCTTATTTGACACTTGAGTATGTTAAAAGCTCTTGTATGTGACGGAGACCATTGGTAATCAACGTTATCCCGGATTAACTCTCTCAAAGGTGCCGTGTGACTCGCCAAGTTGGGCATAAATGGCGCTAAATAGTTGACCATTCCAAGGAACGTGTGAAGTTCTTTCTTATCTTTGGGTGGTTCCATGTTCTGTATGGCTATGACCTTCTCTGGATCAGGTTTGACTCCATTCGCGGTATATACCATACCAAAAAAACTGCATTCAGCGGTCTTGATGATGCATTTCTCTCGGTTGAGTTTGATGCCAGCCATTCTTGTACGTTCCATTGCATCATGAAGATATAGATCGTGATTTGACTCATCTTGGCCATGGACTGTGATGTCGTCCGCAATCCCAGCAGCACCAAGACAGTTCCGATAGACTTCATCAATCTTGAATTGGAAGACATCCTGGCTCATTCGAAGACCAAACGGCATTCTTAGGAATCTATATCGACCATTTGGTGTATTAAATGTGGTTAGATATGATGATTCATCATCTAACTTAACATTCCAGTATCCATTACGAGCGTCTAATTTGCTGAATATCTTAGCTCCAGCTAACTTTGGGGTGATTTCCTCTAAGGTGGGTGTTGGATAGTGGTCCCGCATAATTGCTTCGTTCAGGTCTTTGGGATCCAAACATATCCGAAGCCTTCCATTAGGCTTCTCCCTTATAACTATAGAATTTACCCACTCGGTTGGTTTTGTTACCTTTTCTATTACACCGCTCTTTTCCATCTCGTCAAGTTCGAAATTTAGTTTATCTACCAGCTCTAATGGTACTTTACGAGGCGCATGAATAACTGGTTTAACTTTAGGATCTAGGGTTATATGGTATGTGTAATCTTCAAAACATCCAACTGACCCATCAAAACATTCTGGATACATCTCGATCAGATTCTCTTTATCCTTTATACGAGGACGGTCTGTGATTGGCACAGAGGGTTTAATATAACTTCTAGACCGACTTTGTTGCTGATTTACTATCTTTGCTTGATCCGCAAATCTAATACTCTTAGTGGACTTAACTTTCTCTTCACTAGGCCCCTGGGCAACACCTTGAGGGATGTTTCTTCCTTGTACCACTTTTGTTTCCAGCGCACAATGGAGTGAAACCAGTCCAAGGGCTCTACACGCTTTTATTCCCAATATAGCTGGACCTACTGCATCAGTTACATAAAAAACACAATTAAATTTTCCCCTTTTGTGCTGACATGGTATTAGTACTTTTCCAAATTGGGTAATCTCATATCCCCCATACGCAGTTAAGATAACCTCACTTCTTTGTAGAGCACCGTCCCTGGGCATCCCTTCTGCATTAATGAAGGAATGTTTAAAGTTCTCCAGGAACGACTACCACGAACACACACAACCCTAGCGCGAAGAAGAGCGAAAGCTATCTTCTTACGTAACCAGTTGAGAACTATGGAGGAACTAAAGTTCTTTTTCTCAGCCAGTTTGCCTGCTAGGAACGAGAGGAAGTGAGAAGTCTCCCTTCCACATCCACCATAGGCACTAAAAACGACTTGGGGTGAAGGAGCCATGTTCAACTTCAACAATTCTTTGATTATAATGACGTTTCTTCTCACGTTCGTTGGCGTTAAACGAGCTGGTAAGAGTCTGGCGGCGATGTGTCGAAGCGTAAGGATTAAACACCCTGTCATCAAAAAATGCTTTTTCACATCTCTGCCAGAAACCTCTCGCAGCTATGTCCACTCTAGCATCATCGGCAGAATTAGCACTGGATGGAAGTACTTCGCCAGTTAAAGGAGCAAGAGCAGGTTCAGTAGAAACGTCATAGGCCACGTCGTCTATGGCAGAAGCGAGAAGGTCACGGATTTCGTCATGTCGTCGATGAATAAAACCTCCTTTCAGGCACGACAAGGCATGGTCCACGGTGAAAGATTTTCCACAAGCGCAGAAGGATGGAAGGCGCTTCAATGGCCACCGATAACGCATATAGATTGCGTCAAAGAACTCTGGTTTCGTGAAGACATACCCTTCATTAGCAAGTGGCAGTGCTGTCAACCAAGCTGAGGATCCCTTCAACTGGGCTAGATCATTTGCTCGAATTTGCTCTTCACTCATACTTGATCTCAAGTTCTGCAAGACCAGCTTGTTTTGGGCATGTCGATGATTAATTATCTCACGGCGCAAATCGTAGATGGATGCTCCATTTTCATTTGCTGGAGCGTCATCATTCTGATGGACGATCTTGCTTGAGAGATTTTGACAGATGGTCTTTGAGTTCTCATTTTCTTCATCGCACAGGTCGGAGAAGATAGGTATTCCAAGACCCCCATTCTCGTCGGCAGTGACAGTAACTTCCTCTCATGGATGGAAACACTACGGTTGTCTAGGAGCGCTGGCAGGAGCTTCAGGCTGATGGAATCATCTACCACTCGCATCGCAGTCTTGATACCTGGAACAGTGCGTATATGGTAAGTATAAATCTGTGCCGAAACCCTGATACAAATGCAGCATATGCAGCTTGGGGCTCAAATTTAGCAATTTCACTTAAAATGTAGATTTGCTGACACCATTTACTAACTAAAGACGAGATGTACTTATCTTTCCCATCTTCAGAGCCAAGATATCCTCCAAGGTACTTATGTCCTTCAGTTGTTATACGAACACCAGTTCCTGCGAACATCTCTTTGGCGGTCTGCTCCAGGTGCGGCTTCACAATCAACCAGGATTTGTCAGCACGCGGATAGTAACCAAGACGGGGACCAGAAATATCAATGTTCTTCCACCAGGAACGCAAATGAGCAAGTGTACCAGCACCACTAAGGTCATCAGCAAAGGCAACATGTCGAACATCGCTAGCTTCATCAGATTTAATCAACTGCAGCAAGGGTGTAATGGCAACAGCATACAGCGGCATGGCTAATGGATCACCCTGTGTGGTACCTTCTGCAGAAGTAATTTCTTTCCCTCCTTGGAAAAACAATCTTGATGCTGTGACATAACAGTTGAAGGTGTAAATTGCCATGGCAGGACAAATGTACTGAATGTTGTGCAACATGATTCTCCGGTTAATTGAGTTGAATGCGTTTGTGGCATCCACCAATAACACAGCATCCGTTTCATCTTCTGCAAAGATTTCTGACATGGCATGAACTGCCGCCTCACAGCCAGCTGGTTGTCCAGCACAAAGCTGAACATCACCTGCACTTTCCATGATTTGAGGCTTGATTGCAAAGATAATTGACTTCCCGATGATCCTACGAAGCACCTCACCAATTCCGATGGGACGAACACCTGGGTTCTTATCCAGTGGTATTAAGCGACACGCCAAAAACGCCTCCAAACTTGTGGTCTGATCTGGTTCAATATCAACCTTCCGTGTTGCAAGTGTTCTCGCCATTAACGCAATCGCGGATCGCAGATCTCTTCCAGCGTCCCCATAATTGCGAGACACTAAAATATGCCGCCAGCCAAGTGCATCAAGACCAGAAGGACCAGCTGTCCTATTGCTGACACCATGGCATACAAAATGGTATGTCTAGGAGAAAATACATATATACACCATGTATATATGTATATACATGGCATGCATATACACCATGTGTCTGATGGTTGTACGATACATAATCATACAACCATCATGCATATAAACTTAATATAAATCAATCATGCCATGTTGATATATGATCGACATGGCATGCATATACACCATGTGTCTCATGGTTGTACGCTAATTAAACCAATGCTAATTAAAGCGACGCTAATTAAAGCAACTCTAATTAAAGCAACGCTAATTAAAGCAACGCTAATTAAAGCAACTCTAATTGAAGCAACGCTAATTAAAGCAACGCTAATTAAAGCAACGCTAATTCGAACACCGAATTAAAGCAACGGTAATTCGAACACCGCCTCATTCACTCGCGTTTGGTATGTTTCGCCATTTAATTGTTTTACTTGCTCGCTAGCGACTTGAACTTTTTTCATCCTGCCAATTATTAGAATGGTAAATTCCCTGAGGCCAGTGTAACGGCCGCAGCGCAAGTTCTATGTACATTTGAAAACGATGACGATTTTGCTTACGTCACGACGCGTTGTAAAGTTCGAAGAAACAAAATGCAAAACGCAGAGACAAAATTAAATATTTTACAGGCAACAAATTAATTGTTTTGACCAAG